TTTTGTTTGCAACAGTTGCATACCGTGACTATAGGTTAAGAGAAATTTCTTGGAGTTGAAATCTTAGATTTGATAAAAAGTCAAAGTGTTTGATTTTATCAAATTTGAAAACGAATTGTATGTTTACAAGAAGATAGTGGGAGCATTTTCGTATTTGTAAAACGACATCCCTATATTTTAATCGTTGAAATAATGGTTGTTGAAGGATTTATTCTCAAACGATATTGAAAAAGCAACTTGATTTATAGAAATAGATCTAGAGGGTTGCTTGACTCGTCTCAATCTATATAAAATGTTGAGAAGATTTTATATGGAGAAATTGGTTTACACTTAGACGGTGTGTTGGAAAGGTTCCGAACGTAAGCAACCGTTGATTCAGTAGTAGAAACCTAATACATGATTACTTCAAAAGTAGCAAGGAGTTGCAATCTGGATCATGATGTTCATAAATGAATTTGGAGTAGTTCCTGATATTGTCGATCACATGTCATTGTATTGTGATAACAATAGAGCCATTGCGAAAGCAAAGGAACTAAGGTCTCATCAATGATCCAAACATGTATTATCAATTTTGATTAGATCAAAATAATATTTCACGTCGTTAGGTATTGTGGTCGGGAACCTAATGGGTCGCACACAAAAGAGAATTGGAAGATTGCAAATTGCCAATTGGTTAATTTAACAAGCGTTGGATAAATTAATTAATTGGATTTGTTATTTATATTCCCGAATTAATTAATTGGATTAATTAATTCACGGATTGGGTTTAATTAATTTGATTAATTAAATATTAGACCGGATCGGGTCTAGTCCGTTTGGGTTTATATAAATACATAGCTAGGGTTTGAGGTCCACATGATTTTTATTATTCTTGCTGGCACAAGAGAGAAAACCCTAGTAACTGCAATCTTGTTCTCTGTGTGGATTATCGTTGGAGGCTGGACAATTGGACAACTGTGGATGGCGAATCAAGATTGCTGGAATGAAAAGAATAGCAAAGAAGTTTGCAGATCTGGAAGAGGTACAATTTTATCACAATTTCTATCTAAACACAAATGCGATTTTTGGTGGGAATCGAAAATTATTTTAAATTCCGCTGTGCATGTATAAGTAGATTCATAACAAGAACTTCCTTAGATTAACAATATTTCTTTTGAGACGACCACAAATGATATTACTAATGACTCGTTTGAGATTGGAGACCTTTTGATGCTGTCAGTAAGGAAAAATCTTCCGAGAAAGAAGGCTGGAGTGACACCAAAACTTCCTCGTGTTAACATGATTGATGGGTTACTGGTTTTTGAAAAGATGGAGGGGAAGAGAAAAATCGTGTAAGACTATGCCTTGAGCTCCATTTTTGTGAAGAAAATGAATTTTTGAATAGTGTATTGAGAAAATGTGTGGTTAAAAAATAAAGAAAAGTTTTTGATTTGCTTCTAATATTATTTTATTAAAAAATGTGTAGTTAAAATGATGTCAAATCACTACTGAATAATATATTTTGGTTGAAAAAGGGCTCAAACAAGGGCATTTTATATTATTTATTTATTTATTTATTTTTGTATTGAGTCAACGGTGGAATTAACTTTAAGTGGATGGAACGATATTTTTTGCAGCGGAAGATGAAAATGCCAAAAAAGAAATGTAGGAATATTTTGCACAAAAACATTAAAATGTGAGGACGTTAGGTACAAATTAGCATTTTATAAAGTACTAGTCTTGTGCCATGCAATGCATGACTTGAATTTTATAAAAGGAGATATTAGCATATTAAATAAGGAAACAAAGGGAGACCGCAAACAATAAAAAATTGATTTGATTAATTAAACGATTTAATTATATCAATTAGATATTCAACAATAAAAAAAATGATTCGATTAATTAAACGACTTACTTATATTGAATATAGTATTATCAAATACGTCATTTATAAGTAAAATAATCACTTAGACTAAAATAATAATGTTTGAAAAAATACATTTGAATTATAGCAACAAGAAATTGAGCCAACAAATTTTTCATCTTAATTATTTTAACATCTAAAAAAATTTTATATATAAAAAAAAGTCGATAATTTTTAGGAATTTTTTTTCTTATTGTTACTTTTTCTTCTTGATAAATTAATTTTTAAAATAATCTAATACAATTTTTTGCATAAAAGAATGATTATTAAAAAATTTTACGTTAAAACCAAAAAAAAAAAAAAAAAAACAAATTTGACGTCAAACAAAAAAGAATTAAAAAGGAAAAAAGAAATAATTTTAAAAAAAAAATGCATTTTTAACACATACGTTTAATCTCCGTTTAACTATTTTCGATATTTATTTAGATCATTCGATATCTCTACGATATAGTTCTCAAAATGAGTTTCGAGAGAATGTAAATATTTACCGATTCGACTATCGTACAATCGTCGACGAATTTTTAAAGTTAACTTGTTATCGAAAATTTCGAAATAGTAATAAAATAATTGATTTTTTTAAGAAAAACTAATTATGCGTATTTTTTAACACATACGTTTAATATCCGTTTAACTATTTTTGATATCTATTTAGATCATTCGATATCTCTACGAAATAGTTCTCAAAATGAGTTTCGAGAAAATGTAAAATATTTATCGATTCGACTATCGCACAGTCGTCGATAAATTTTTAAAGTTAGCTTGTTATCAAAAATTTGGAAATATAGTTTGAAAATGCTTACATTGACGTCCGATAACATTTGCTATGATTGACTGTTTCGCGCACCGTTAATGACATGCAATACTATATCGCGGGTACTTCAAAACGATTTTAAGAATATAATATTTCGACTTCATTTGATATCCCGTAATGAGCCTGAAAATAAACACAAAAACATAAGTAAAAAAAATAAAATTCGAGAGAATGTAAAACATTTATCGATTCGATTATCGTATAATCGTCGACGAATTTTTAAAGTTAACTTGTTATCGAAAATTTCGAAATAGTAATAAAATAATTTATTTTTTTTTAAGAAAAACGAATTATTCTTATTTTTTAACACATATGTTTAATATCCGTTTAACTACTTTTGATATCTATTTAAATCATTCGATGTCTCTACGATATAGTTCTCAAAATGAGTTTCGAGAAAATGTAAAATATTTATCGATTCGATTATCGCACAATCGTCGATAAATTTTTAAAATTAGCTCATTATCGAAAATTTCGAAATTTAGTTTGAACATACCTACTTTGACGTTCGATAACATTTGCTATGATTGACCGTTTCACGCACCGTGAACGACGTGCAATACTATGTCACGAATATTTCAAAACGATATTAAGAATATAATATTTTGACTTTTTTTAATATTCCGTAATGAACCTGAAAATAAACACAAAAATATAAGTAAAAAAAATTAAAAAATTAAAAATTTGAATTCAGGCACTCCGCACAGCGCGGAGTGCTTGGAAAATTTTATTTTATTTTTTTTAGGACTTTTTTTGGGTAATTCGATCATAACTTTGGCTACAGTTATCAGAATCCTGCCCATGACCCCAATTCGTAAAGCTCTTTTTGACACGCACGTCGTGGCCACCCAGCTACGCTGGGTGGACATCATTTTCGAGGTCAAAATTCGATGTTTTCCCTTCCAAATCTCTTATAGTTATTTTCTTCATTTACGCGTTTGATGTACGTTTAACTATTTTCGATATTCATTTAAATAATTCGATATGTCTATAATATAATTCTCGAAATGAATTTGATAGAATATAGAAAATATATTTTTTTATAGATGTTGCGTAAAATATTTTTTTTTTGTTTTTGGTATAAAAATTCCTAATAAAATTATTATCGCCCTACTTTTCTTAATTCCTTTACGTAAAATGTATAAAAAAATATATTTTCTATATTACATCGAAACTCATTTCGAGCACTATATCATAGACACGTCAAATGATTTAAATGAATATCGAAAGTAATTAAACAAATATCAAACACGTAAATGAAGAGGAAGGGAAAATAGCGAATTTTGACGTCGAAAACGATGTCCACCCAGCCTAGTGAGGTGGCCACGACGTGCGCGTCTAAAAGAGCTTTCCGAATTGGGGTCATGGGCACGATTCTGACAACCGTAGCCAAAGTTATGGTCGAATTACCAAAACAATCTGTAAAAAAAAAAAATAATAATAATTTAGTGAAGCACTCCGCGCAGCGCGGAGTGTCTAATTTTACTCTTCTTCTTTTTTTTTTTTTTCTTTTCTTACGGAGTTATTTTTTTTCTAAATTTATTATTATTATATTTTTAATTTGGCTATAAGTTTTGCTACAGTTATCGGAATTGAGCCCATGATCCCAATTCAGAAAGCTCTTTTTGACATGCACGTCATGGCCACCTAACTTCGCTTGGTGGACATCGTTTTCGAGGTCAAATTTTGCCGTTTTCCCTTCCAAATCCCCAATTATAGTTTGACGTCAAATTTAAAAAATGCGTATAACTCGTCATTTTTTTAACGCACACATCTATAAAAAATATATTGTCTATATTTTATCGAACTCGTTTCGAAAAACTATATTATGCACTCATCGAATTGATCTAAATGAATATCGAAAATAGTTAAAGTTACATCAAACGCGTTTCTTAAAAAGTTTACAAAAAAAATATATTAATAGTATAATTAAAAAAATTAAAATTAAAATTAAAAAAAAAAACTTATCTGTGCAAAATCAACAACTGTGGGCGCAAGTGACCATTAAGTTTTCAATGTGTTAATTAGTGTAAGGTGGGATTTTCAAGGATAAAGTGGGAAAATAATGTAAAGGAGGAAAAAAGAGAAAAAAGAAAAGGACAAACTACTGTAGTAAAATTGGATAAATTAGATTCAAGTGTGAGAACGACTGTAACATAAATGAATAATATCAAAAGCCTCTCTTTTAAGAGATTAAAGATAAACGATCCATCCCTTGGTTATCCTTTTATAAAGATTAATATGAACGATCCAAGCCCTTGGTGACTCCAATCACGGAGTCCACCATCTAACCTTTACACACGCTGGTTGAGAAGAAATCCTAACCGAACAAATAAAACTCCCTTTCTCAAAAAGTCGAAATTCAAAGCTTTCAATACCCTTCTTCTCTTCAAACCCTGGGTCCTCCGATTTCTCACTTTAATGCAATCAATCAAAAGGAAATTTCCCATCAAACCCTGAGAAACTTCTCATCTCTTTCAGATCTCCTCCTCCCCACTCGTTTTTGATATTTATTCACGTTTACTTTTCTGTAAAAAATTTGGTCGCGGAAAATTTCAGATTTGATTCAGGTAACTGATCTAGTGCAGATTTTATTTTTTAATTTCGTTGTGTATATTATCCACGTGTATGTTAGGATTGTTAATTTGGATTTGGATTTTAAACTTTTTTGTTGAATTTCTAACTGAACTTGTTTTTACAATCCTGTCAAATGATTTGTTTTTCAATTCTGATAAATGAATTTGTATTGTTTTAATATTATGGCAAAATTTTGAGGGTTGTCGGATCTATTGGTTTCATGTTTGCTATTGAATAGTATCTTAAATCTTACGTACTATTATTGACAAAATTAACTCCTAGATGTAATCCTTTGTATGAATTATTCAGAAATTATGATTATATAGCTTTTTGATTGTCGTAATGCTTTTATTTATGAAAAGGAAATATTTTTTCGGGTAATTATATTACCGCAACAAAATTTACTTATTGCACCACATTTTTAATCAATTTTTTTATTTACTTAAATCACGTTGAGTAGAATTACTTAATTACCCACAATTTTATATAAATTCTTAACATAAGCATTTTTTTAATATCATACTCCACAATCATGATCGGAGTCTCCTTCCAGCCTGTACCACTGCTGCCACCACCTCCTCCATCTTCTCCGTCTTCAACTTTATGAAGAAGAAGAAGAAGAAAAGGAAGAAAAGAAGCAAGAGGGCATCCCTTCTGTATTTTCCATTCCCACATTGTCATCTCGTTTGCTCACCTCTCTCCCTTCTCTCTCCACAATCCACTGAATCATCTTCTAAACCCATTTTCTAACCCTTCTCTGTCGAAAAACCCACCACAATATAAACATACACTAACCTATAATCCACACACAAGCATCTTGTTCATCGTAATTGTAATTGCAGTACCCTTAATAATTTTTTCATTTCTATTTTGGCTCAACTAGTGTATAGATGCAATCAATTTTCACTTCCTTCAATCTTCGCCATCGGATGTTATGACCATTTTTGCTATTCAGTGGCTCTTCTCTTCTCGCATTTTGTTTCACTAATTTACAGCTCACAATATTAACAACCTTGTCAAACTCTAGCTCAGTTTTTGCTTTAGTTTCAGCATCGGGTGGTTTGAATTTTGATTCAGATTTGGGTCAGAGTTTTTGTTGTTTCACCAGAATTATCCCTTGCCGGCGTAGTGAGTGAGATAAGTGCATTTTTTGCACATAATGATTGTGAGGACAGCTAATATGCGCAGGGGTGCAAACTATGAACGTAGTGATTGGAAATTTACGAGGGTGTTGACCGTGGAGGAGGTGATGTCAGTTGTGGGTAAATATTCGGATGATGAATACATCACAATATTACATTATTTATTTATTTATTTTTGTTTGATTAGGAGTGTAATTGTAAATTTATTGTGGTGCATTTATTAAAAGTAAATTTTAATTGTGGTGAGATTGTATCATGGTGAAGTAAGTAAATTTTGTAGTGGTAATATAATTATCCTATTTTTTCTGTACCATGTATTTTGTCCTGATGTTGGAAGATCTGGTTAAGCTGCGACTGACAATTTTCTAACTCTACAATTTTGGTCATATTTATGCAGATTGGATCTCTACAGACACCCATAACTTCTTTTAAATAAGGAAGCCAATAAAATTAATTGTGTCCATTATTAAGGCATTGCTTAGATTGGATTTCAATTATCGTATATTTTCTCTGAAATTTTTTTTCGTTTCTTCGGATATAAAAAAAATTGTACTAGTTTTCTTCAGCAATAGTTAATCATTTTGTGATTATTTAACTGATTTTGAATTTCTTTCCATTTACCAAGACAATGGTCAATTGTTTTGCAATTTTGAAGGCTGATGCCTGATCTTGTAGTTTGTAGTAAAAGAGTATTCCTTTGTCTGCTTTGCGTATTTGACCCTGGTACTTATGAGACATACAATTGGTCTTTCTTTCTTGCAGATTTACCTTGTTTAGCAGAGGTTTTCTGGTTTTCTTAATCAATGGCTTCTCTAGATATGTCTCTTGATGATGTGATAAAGAGCAGGCGCACTAGTGATAGAGGCAGAGGACGAGGCAGGCCTCGACGTGGTAGAGGCTCGGGAGGGTCCTTCAGAGGTGGAAGGACAACTGAGGCTCCTCGCAGAGGTCCACTTGGCATAAATGCTCGGCCATCAGCTTACACCATTGCCAAGGCAAGCTCAAAACATTGAAGTCTTATGCATTTCTAGGCAACCTGCTATGCTTTAGTAACTCACGTGAAGGATCTGTAATTTTCCTTAAGAAATTCAAATATGAGAGATCTTGTGATACTATTTGGTCCAAGGAGAAGCTCATATTACTGCGGCCTGGAAAAGCTGTTTTATTGTAGTGCTTCTGTCCTGTGCTCTTCACAGTTCTGTTCATGTGTGGTTTTGTTCAAGGGATTTGCTGTGGAGTCTTTTGACAAAAGTAGAAGATCGTTGGTTGCCCATTAAAACACTTTGCTACTTTGCATCTTATGTTGAGGAGCTTCTTTACTCAAAAACTTAAGAGCTCTCACCATTTTAACATCTGCTAACCACTAAGGGCTTGAATTTTCTAAGTCATCTTTAAACATTGTTTAGCTGCCTTTTGATTGTTTAGAGGGGGAGTTCATGCTGGATACACGTGCTAGTGCTGTTTGTGGAATTATTTTATGATGAATACCATTGCTAAATGGACTTACCTTGAGGCGAGATTTCAGTATCAGTTTATGTCCTTTTTGCAAATGTGCCTTCTCTCGCTGGACTTCAGAACTGGAGCTCTCACCTTTTACATAGCACCCATTGACATGCAGTCGGTTGAATCAGCTAGCTACCCATTACTCTAATTTTACATACAAATTTCTGTGGAATTAGATTATCTTGTTTGAGCATCTCGATGTGGCTCCTTCGTGGAATTTTTTCTGATATCTGATTTATCTTGAGGAATGGTAAAATATTGTTTTCTTGGTCATATGCTGACATTTACTATCCCAATCACAATATATTTCTGGTTTGCATGCATCAGTCCTTCCGCAGAACCAAGAATTTGCCATGGCAGAATGGTCTGTTTGAAGATAGCCTTAGAGTTGCTGGGTTGTCAGGATTAGCAAATGGTACAAAGCTATATGTCTCCAACTTGGACGTTGGAGTGACAAATGATGATATAAGGGTACTAGCTGAACCATTCTTCTTGACATTTCATTCATCCTTGCAATGGGTTTCTTTTGAAGATATGTTGAAAATGGACTTGCGTCACAGGAACTATTTTCAGAGCTCGGGGAGATGGTAAGATATGCAATTCACTATGACAAGACTGGACGACCAAGTGTAAGTATCAGGCTTCACGCATTAATTTCCACTGTACTTTAGGTTATTTATGTTCTTTGAATTGTACATGTTCTCCTGACTATGTAATGCTTCTAGTGTTGGAGGTAAATTGTAAGTTGAGATATGTCACTCTTGATGCATACTCAAGTTAATGTAGAGGGCCATTTCTCTAGCAGGACACCCCTGAATTTTGAAATCACAGTGGTGGATCTTGGTAATATTATATGAAAACATTTTACGAGTGTGCAAGTGCAATGGCTTTGATGAGGGTGTTTCAGGTTTTCAATGTGCTGCATTGCATATTAGCTTTTTCCCTGATTCAGCATTTACGTTATCTGCTGTTTTAATCTTGTAAATTTTGTCTTCCACATGTAATTTTGAATTTTATCTTGCTTGACAATATTTTTAATGACTTGACGTTGTTCCCTAACGAATCTATTGTTCAATATTTTATGTTGTTTTGCTTGTATTAGACTATTTTTGCAATCAATAGTTTTCAGCTGCAGAAGTTCAATAAATCTATTGTTATGCAGGGCACAGCTGAAGTGGTTTTTGCTAGGAGAAGTGATGCATTCCAAGCTCTTAAGAGATATAACAATGTCCAACTGGATGGGAAGCCCATGAAGATCGAAATAATCGGTACTAATGCAGAGATCCCTCTATCAGCTCGCGTGAATGTAGTTGGAGGATCAAATGGAAAAAAGAGGACAGTTGTTATGACGTATGTTATTATATTACCTTACAGCTAATTTATTAAGTACTTCCAAGGTTTTCTTTTTACTCATATTTCTTCTTGATGTGGCATATCCTCTTAGTCTTGAATATCTAAACTATATAACTGTCTACATAGTTGACGTTATTAACTTTAGGTCACGAGCACACATTTTAAAACTTATTGATATTTTGCCGCAGGCTTTATATGGTTGTTATGAGTTTGATACGAATAGTTGATTTTTTATCCTGTCCACCTGTTTATCTCCGAGATCTTTATGTTTCAACCTGAAGATAGATGGAGGGTTTTACATCCAATTTTCTATCATACATTCTTTTCGAATTGGGCCCACATCTCTGGTTGGCCAGCTTCTGTATTTTGTGAGGAGGCGTATATACGCCCAAGGATACCAGTAAATGTCATAGAACTTGAATACATGAGTTTCTCATAGTCATCTTCTCATCTGAATAAGGGAAACTTGAAGTCAAAATCTGAGTTGCTCCCTTTGATTGACTGATTTTATCTGGGAGAACCATTTTTCTCTTTAAACCCCATGTAAAGATAAGCTATGCAAAGAAATCCAAACAAAGGCACCAACTTTATTTTTGAAAATAATCCCTATCATCTTAAATACAAACTGTATTCCTGATTAGTTCTGACACAGTTTAGCTGAGATAGGAATTTCTGTATATAGAATTGATGTGGTCCTACTTCCGCAGTAGCAAAATCTATTCGTAGTTATTATAATATATGTTTTATTTATGTGCTGGCTCTGTTAATGTTCTTGTAGCCAGAGCTGATTGTTCTGAAATATGCTGTCTTACTTATTGTGCTTTTCCTTTTTTTTTTCTTTTTTGGGGGGGGGGGGGGGGGGGGGGTGAGGAAATTGATCCCAGTATTATTGAGAAGATCTTCATCTTAAATTTTAGTTGAATAGTAACAACAATTCCATCATAAGTTGTCCTATTTTTAGTCAATTAACGGGGAGCTAGCAAATGTGCAGGCCTGGACCAGGTCGTTCCAGAGTTGGCTCGAGTTCTGCTAATCGCAATGTTGGGTAAGCTGTCCTGTAGCATCTACAATTTTGAGATGGTTTATAAACTGTAATTGAATTATATTTGGTGACTTCTGGAGCATGGAGCATTATTATTGGTAATAATCCATGTTGAAATGCCCAATGCTTCTGAGATATGAAATTTAATCATCCACTGTTAAGCAATGCTGGTTTAAGGAAGGACAAATCTTACCAAAATGTAATTTCTATTCAGAAGCTTGGTCTTCCTTGATACATGATTGAGTAAAGAAAGTTTACTTTCACGGAAGGGACATTGGTCCCTAACCTAAAGGAGCAAGTTGGTCCCCAAATTCTTCAATGTAGTTAGGCTATCGATCTCCAGCAATGGAAACCATCCAAAATGCTGTTCAGATTATCGTTTGGTCCTGACATGATCAACTTCATGATAGGCAAAATGTCGAGGTTTAAACTCTAAACTGTTATACACTTCATAAAGTTGGTATGTGAGCGTTATTTAGTAGATTTTTGGAAAATTTGTGTGAGTGAGTCTGCTTGTGGAATTCTATTGAAAGATTTGGGACCAACTTCTATTTATAGGTTGGGGACAAATAGTGCAGTTTTCCCTATATAAAATTTCTTTATATTTTTTATATATAGCATTTTCTTGATTGAAGAGTTGTTTGGAACTGTAGATACTCAAACCAGCATGCATTAGTTGCACAGTTTGCAGTCACTGTCAGTCTGTCACAGAAGTTCGAATGTTGGGTTCTAATAGCATGAGGGGGTTCAGATCTTCCTCTTTTTCTCTTTCGTTATTTTTTTTGTGTTGAGGGGTTTTACTTGTGGTGGTGGTGATTCCTTGCTTCAAAATTATTGTGTGCGCGCTTCTAAAATTGTATTTCTTGGCTGATTTAAAGCCCTGGCAGTCTCACACCTTATAGTGAAGTTTCGCATTAGTCTTTAAACTTCATTTTGTTTTCAAGTACTCTCCAAAGTTTATGTTTTAGTTTGACGTGGCATATGACATGGAGTCCTTCATGCTAAACATTACTTAGAAAAAATAAGTGTTTAGCTGATCAAATTAATCAAAAAGCGAACTCCAGTGACCACTCATGAGTTTGGAACAAAACCTAGTTTAGTGCCAACTTGAAACTTCGCCGAGTAAGTGTGTTTTTAACTTCAAGTTTGTTAATATGCGCTGCTGTATCTTTTTGTACAGCCAAAATAGCCGTGGTGGTTTGAGGAATGGACGAGGAGGTGGACGTGGACGTGGACGTGGCAGAGGCGGTGGTCGCTGGAGAAAGAAAAATGTCGAAAAATCGGCTGGTGAACTTGACACGGAGCTTGAGAACTATCATACCGAATCAATGCAAACATGATTCGATGGCTCTGCCTTCCAAGTATTTCAGTAAAAAACAATTAGTACTCAGAATTACATTAGTACGAAGTTTGACATGACAAACTTGCTCGGGTTTTTGTTTGTCGGACAACTTGGATGATGTGCTATTTAGTGTTCGAGTTTCTTTCTTGCTCTGTAAGTGTTTGTCGGACAATTTGGATGATGTGTTATTTAGTGTTCGAGTTTCTTTCTTTTGTAAGTGGAGAGCTAAACTTTAGATTTCATTATGGCTTTTCTGGGTGTTACCATTTTTCCTTTCCTACGTGCTGAGTTCAACATTTACATAATTTGATGGTTAACCCCTGTTTGGTTTGGATAAAAATTAGTTTTAGTAAATTTTGACGACTGTGAAAAAGTGCGGGTTCAAAAGTTTATAAAAGTTGTGACTTCCATAAAATGTGTGTTTAAAAATGAGTTTAGAAAGTGGTACCAAATAGGGATTTTGGTACAAAGAATGCAAGATAGAATTTCCAGAAAAATCCAAGGGATCTTAGCTTGTGGATTGTAGACTTGAAAATTGAATTTTATTTAGCATTCCGAATTTAGAGTTTACATAGAAAATGCTCTAACTGAGCAAATTCTGAGGGAGCCCTTTATTTAGCATTCCGAATTTAGAGTTTACATAGAAAATGCTCTAAATGAGCAAATTCTGTAGGAAGCCCTTTGAACTATTATAGGCATTTTCTTTTAGTTCTATCTTGCGTCTCGGGCCTCCCCTTTTTCGAACGCTCTTTACGTCATATGAATCTGCTAACGATGGAAGAATTACCCAAAAAAAAGAAAAAAAGAAAAGAAAAAAAGGAAAAATCTCTGAACATATTCCATTAATTTTTGGCACGTGTTTAAATCTATTGGTCCCCACGTTTCCTTTTAGTGTACTTTTGGCATCGTCCTTTTCATAACTGGTACGAGTAAATTGCTCTGGAGATCATAAATACCGACCGTACTCGCAACTTGGCAATTTGATGCAATAATGTCTGTTTGAGTAACATTTTTCAAGCAACCAGGGTACTCCGTTTGAGTTCTGCCGATGAACATCAGTTTAAGTTATATTTTTTAGGCAACCAGGTTACTCCGTTTGAATTTTGTCAATGAACATGCTGACATATCTGTCAAAACTAATGACGGCCAAAAGGGTCATTCGATTTCCTAAATTAACTCAACTAAAACTACATTGAGGTCGCCAAACTTTCACCATACTAGCGACTAGTCGTCTAACAATAAGTTTGGTGTAATCAAGTCATTATACTTAATTTACGAGCAATTAAGTTACTCCACATGAGTTCTAACAGTGAATCTACCTATGATATCTTATTTAAGAACGATCGATTGATTTAGTAGTTGAATCAACCGAAATGAAGAACACCCAACATAAAGGACAAATATAAACAATCTTCTTTTTCGAAGGCAACATTTGTTTTGGTCCTTTGCTAATTATGTTTCTAAGGTATCAACCTTCAGAAATAAAATTAATATTACAATGCTAAATAGACGGTGTGTAGGAGTTGGTTCAAATAATTAACCAAAAATTGGAAAATGAAAAGGTGTGTAAAAGTGAAAAATGAAAAGGTGTGACTACGTGTCAATTTCGACCAAATATTCGGACTGGATTCGATGGTCAAATTATAAAAGTAAATAGACCAACTTATTCTACTCGTCGAGTAAATCGTCGTGGTATATTTGGAATATCGAAACCAATTTCGAATGAATGAGAAATCGAGGTCCAATGTTGGAAGAAATGAAGTGTTGCAACTTTTCGAAAGAATGCAGATTTTGACAAAGTGTTGCAATTTTTTGAAATGATGCATGTTTTGGCTCACACTACTTCATTTACACCCTTTCTACATCTATAAATAGAACTCTATGGACATGGTTTGGAGTACACAAATTGCATTGAGCATTCATTCTCCTCTTGCAATTCTCTCCTTTCTAATTCCATAACATTTTCATGCATGTCCTTGGTAGAGAGAAAATTCCGTTCGAGTTCGTTGGTCGAAGCCATTTGGAGTGCTCCTATGACTTGACGTGGTCATTGTATCTTGAAAGATGATTGTCGAAAAATCGTTAGCACTGATGCAGGGCAAATTCATCTTAAGGACCAAGTGTCAAACACTTGCCTCGACCAAAAATTCATCACTTGCATTTTTCTTCATACAGTTTTTTTTATTTCTTTTGATTATATTTTAATTTCGGGAAGTGATTAACATTGTTTACATGTTTATGTTGCAAGGTTTGATTAAAAGAATAATTTGCTTTCATTAAAGAATCGAAAGGGATGAATCCATATCCATGCGTTCAGATTTGGTAACTTTTATGTTTTGCTTCTCAAATCCTATTTCGGTAAGTCGAAATTACGTTTCAATTTCACGCAAATAACCGATATGCTTTTGTGATTATAATATGCACGTAATCGGTGTAAATTTCCCCAACAATCTTAAGATGAATTATTGTTGATTTTCTCGTGCATTTTATATTTATGATCTTGGAAATTATATAGTGTGCAATTCTGAAAATTGTGTATAAACACGTGAATCCGTAAACTGACAATTGGTTAAGCACTTAAATTAATGGTATATATGATATTCCAAATAATTGTACTTGCCAAAATTGTGATACCAATTGGAAAGTTGGCAGTTTTAATTTGCTGACATCTTTTAATTAAACAAATGGTTTTGTGCATGAGGAATCTTGACTGGGTGTTTGTGCACTCATATTGATGGTTCTGTTCTCCATGAAACAGAATTCGTGCAAAAATAATTGGAGCCAGAATGTCTTAATATATTCGGATAAATTAAATAAAATATACATGTTGTTGAAGGATGTATCCTTCTACATTTCTGAAATGGTATGAATTTGTCTTTTATCATAAGTTGTGTTACGAAATAAAATTGCCTTACATACAAACGAGTGCTTACATGAAAAGATACATATTTAATGAATAAGTTACTAGTTTGATGATATTAAATAAATTACATGAAGGGTTGCTTCAATTTATTTAGTAATTAATTACTTGTGCAATTGTGAATTTAATCATGTTGTAACTGCCTCAATTAAAAGTAGACAACTATTATATGCCGTCCATTCATTTAGAATATGATATATGATTGCAATTGTTAATGCATGGTTGCTGAACCAGTACGTTTCTTTCCATGATGGTTTATTTTTGAACAAGTGAATGGGGTTCTAAAAACAGTTTACTAGATGGCAACAAAATATGGAAATACGTGGACCTCCTCCATGAGACATTTTATAGGATAAACTTATACAAATGAATGTATAAATATTTGGAATATATGTTGCTATTCCTACACTTTGTCCATGATGAATTGGATATCATTAAAATCAACTTGAGTCCAATAATGAATGGATGGAAATAAGGAAATTATTCCTAACCATTGGAATATAAGGATGCCAATTATTTGATGAAAGTATATGAATTTTCATGAGATTCCTTTGATTGGAATATGAAAATGGCATGGTAAATTAGTTTGTTAAAGTTTCATAACTTGTTGAAATTATACTAACTTTGATAAATATTGATAGCCTCATTTAATCCTATGAAATTAAATGAGATGATTTAAGTGGATATAATTATTTAGTTATAAGATTTAAGCCACTTAATTATTATGAAATATTCTATGATCAATTTTGCATGGACAGATGTATCTTTTCATATGAATAATCATGACTTTTGGTATGATTAATTTTTCAATGGGTGTACCTCTTTATAGAGATTAATTCAAGAGGTGTGTCCTTTTGTAAAGTTGTGTCTCTTGAAAACACAACTTTTCAACCGATGGTTGAAATAAAACTATCATGTGAAATGTCACAAATGTGATGAGTTGCATATGTTTGAAGAAGTTGCAATGCTTAGCCATCTTTATTGTTGAATTGACTTCAATCGCGAGACCAATTAAATTGGTTTATGCTTGGAAAGTATTACTGGTCCATATGATGGCCTTAATTTAATTTGGCTGATCAAATTAAAATAATTGGATTGAAATAAATTGTGAGTCGATGATCAATATTTTGAAAGTACCTAGACTTTCACGAAATACTCCATACGGATATTATCTAAGAGATAAATGAATTGAACTATGAAAGAGTTGATGAACTCTAAGTTCAATTATAACTTAAGAATGTGGGGGGTTAAATTTAATGCTTGTGAACTTGAAATAGAAAGTTCAAAACTTGTGGATGCAACATTACTAGATTGCATATGTATTCATAATTGAGAAATTGTGGGGGTAACTCAGTTTAACAGTTACGTTTGCTTCTATCTTATAATCACAGAACAATATCTATGAAGGTAGGAAGATAGAAAACCCTTATACTAATTATAAGGATGATATATACTAAGTCTAAAGTGGATGAAATGGGTTGTAAAACTAATTATGACGTTTGTTTAGATATGCAAGAACAATTGGAATATATGAAGAATATTCATAAAGTTAAAATGCATGGTAATGTTTCAATGATGATATTGAACACCTATGATTCTGAAATCCACTAGTAAAAGTGATTGGCTAGAGTAGTGATTGATAGAAATCTTCCAATCGTGTTTGAAAATTGATAAAGCTAATGAGGCATATAGCTTCATGAGAAGATTTCTTGGTGGCGACATTTTGCATCTATCAAATAAATCAATCGTTGGCTAGCTATATTTGATAAGATACTAAGTCACATGTAATGGTAGATCTAGACGTATAAGTTATAGACATAATACCATTAAGTAGTTGATCTCAATGGTGTAAACTCATGGTACCTTTAAAGAGATATACTAAGAGAGATTAAGAATACTGCATATCGAAGGGAATGAGGTAAATGCTACTACGTTAGAGTCCTTATAATGGTAACCCTATCTTGTTGACTGGAGATCTCAAGATCTTGGTTCAAAGGGACAACTAAGTTATGAGGATTCCATGAAGCACTAAGAAAAATAGTTTCCTAACTCATTCCTATGATATTAAAGTGCTTTCTGCAGAGTTGTAAGAGGTTAAGATAATTTTTTAATGATTCCTATATCTTGCTTAAGTCAAGTGGAGTAGGGCATAATACTCTTAATAGGAGGTTACCTACGTGAGTGTGAAGTGGGGCCGCTTCAATGAGAATTATTGAAGGCTTGAATTCTTTAAACACTCATAGAACCAAGAAGGGTTCAGGGCCAAAATGAACCAAGTAATGAGAACCATGAACGGTTTAGGAAAGACATCTATGTGAGTATCGTTGTCTTGGCTTACACTAAAGGATGAATGGTTCAACACATCACGTTCACCAATTAGCCAAGTAAGTCCGATGATATTTCATTAAGAGAGGTTTAAGGCCAGAACTACCTTCCCTGATGTAGTGTTTTTTTTCGTATCCTCTCTACATTGCATCATATCCAATTTCTGTTAATGTGGGGGATTGTAGGAGTTGGTTCAAATAATTAACCAAAATTTGAAAAATGAAAATGTGTGTAAAAGTGAAAAATGAAAAGGTGTGACTACGTGTCAATTTCGACCAAATATTCGGACTTGATCCGATAGTCAAATTATAAAAGTAAATAGACCAACTTATTCCATTTATCGAGTAGATCGTCGTGGTATATTTGGAATATCGAAACCAATTCCGGATGAATGAGAAATCGAGGTCCAAAGTTGGAAGAAATGAAGTGTTGCAACTTTTCGAAAGGATGCAAATTTTGGCCAAGTGTTGCAATTTTTTGAAATGATGCATATTTTGACCCACGCTACTTCATTTGCACCCTTTCTACATCTATAAATAGAACCTTATGGACATGATTTTTAGTACACCAATTGTATTGAGCATTCATTCTCCTCTTGCAATTCTCTCATTTCTAATTCCATAACATTTTCATGCATGTCCTTGGTAGAAAGGAAATTCTGTTCGAGTTCGTTGGTCGAAGCCATTTGGAGTGCTCCTATGGCTTGACGTGGTCGTTGTATCTTAGGAGATGATTGTCGAAAAATCGTTAGTACCGATGCAGGGCAAATTCATCTTAAGGACCAAGTGTCAAACACTTGTCTTGACCAAAAATTCATCACTTGCATCTTTCTTCCTACAGTTTTTTTGATTTCTTTTGATTATATTTTGATTTCGGGAAGTGATTAATATTGTTTACATGTTTATGTTGCAAGATTCGATCAAAAGAATAATTTGCTTTCATTCAAGAATCGAAAGGGATGAATCCATATCCATGCATTCAGATTTGGTAACTTTTATGTTTTGCTTCTCAAATCCTATTTCGGTAAGTCGAAATTACATTTCAATTTTACGCAAATAACCGATATGCTTTTGTGAATATAATATGCACGTAATCGGTGTAAATTTCCCCAACACGGTGCACTGTGGGCTAACACCATGAGAAAAAACCTCATCCATCATCATTCTAATAACACTCGACAAGATTTATAAGTCCATGTTAGGCAGAGATTCTTCGAGAAGAGATTTTGTAAAAAGTGATTTTTAAAGAATTTGTGGTTAAAAAATAAGAAAAACCTATGAATCCACGTATTAAATTATTTTATTGGAAGAATGTGTGCCTAAAAGTTAGTTTGAGAAAAATGAATTGAGTAGTGCTATTTAGTTGTAAGCGGAATTTGTGTTTATTATCAATCATATTCAGACTGCATCTTAATACGACGAAGAAGATAGGGATTGATCATTGATTTGTTTTGTTTGAAACACGTACACTCTAGCAAGGATTTTGTATGTAAATAAAAACAATAGTAACTTAGATATAAAGTGCACGAGGAAAGTACATAATTATATTTTAATTGGTCTGAGTCCCGCACGTGGAAAGTGCATATTCTATTTTATTTCTCCAATTTTTCATTCAAATTTGAACATTTCATTTGTAATATTAATATAACCCGTTGGATTGATTTTTGTTAGCACGAGAATACATCGAGTAACAGAAATAAAAGTTGAACGATTTGATTGTAACAAAGAAATTTTTTTGCTAATATTCCGTGACATCGGTTGTTTTTAAATGTTTAGATTTGTGAATTTGAGTTGGAATTTCCTATCGGTTTCACTATACCTCTAGAATAGTGTCTCTTGACTGTTTGAGATGGGATAGTGCGATTTGATCCAATATTCAATGTAGTTATATTGTTCTAAGATAATTCCACCAAGTGAAGTTGTCTCGTAAATTGAGGAAATGGCGTTTGTAATTTATACGGAGAAGAAAGATAACACGTCTGTTCTTACTAGAACTTACTGAGTAAAATCAAATTGATCATAACTTGTATACATAGCAAATATGCCTAACACAGCTGGTACGCCCGTGGAATTTTCGAACGTGGTTGTGTTGGCCTCTGTTTGGTACTAGTCTAATACTCAGTTTGGTGGTCATCTCCTCGACTTTTTGGACTCTATCTTGTCTAATCTAATCTAGTCCAGTCATGTCGACCTATAATCTAGTAATATCAAACCATTCCTAACTACTGAAGTCATCATACAGAACACTTAAGATATCAGTGTAATCTATAAAATCTAGGGGAAACTGCAAATCCTTAAATGGGCTTGCACCCATGCTTTTGTCTTCAGTAATAGTGGATTGCATTGACGTTTCAGGGTCTCTATTTTGATCCACTACCTGGGACGGTGGTTCTTGATTTTCCAGCTGTTGATCGGGGGTCGGAGGCGGCAGTGGGTTGTGGGTCAAAGGATCAATCCCTGTATTCATCAGCTTTTTCTTAATGCGAGTGTTCCAGTGATTCTTTATACAATTATCAGTTCTTCCAGGTAGATGAGAAGCAATCTTGGACCATCTGCAGAACATTAGGAACGCATAAATTATGGCATTGGACCACAAGAATTTGTCCACAAAAGAAAAAGGCTGAACTTTTATGTTGTCATGAAAGTCATAATCAAAATATAATGATTAGGCATTCGGGCTACTTTTCTTAACGAATTTGACCTCTTCATCAAAAATAAAAAGAATCGATCCAATTGCAACTTCAAATACGACAATGAAAAATCAAATTATCACTATATTAAACGAGCAATTAGATTTGTCTGAAACTCAAACTAGTATTTGGATTTTCAAGTTTGGTTATTTCCCTTGGTGTTCTCGAATGATTCACCAACTTCAAAGCTTTTTAGGGTAAAGTCTTAACTTCTTGTTATCCTTAAAAAGTCAACATTTTAAGATGAACCCCAAAACTCAATAATATCAAACTGAAAAGAAAAGCTTGTCCGTTGCACGTGGCTGGCAATGCAAACAAAAATAAAAAATAAAAAATCACCGAGGACTTGGGAGGAAAATAAAGATAATATCGAGATATATATGGTAGGTAGTACTGAACAAGACTGTACATAACAGGAAATGAGATACCTGTTTCCAAGCTTAGCATGGAGATCAATAACAATCTCCTCTTCATCTTCTGATAGAAGTCCCATTTTCAGGTCTGGACTTAGATAATTTTTCCATCTCAATCTACAGCTTTTACTACATCTTGATAGTCCTGCAAATTGCAATGACTTCAGGGCATATGACAATGAAAATTTGAATTAATAAGACTTTAACTTCTTTTGTTGCTTACCAAACATGCTATTAGTGCATTGCTATCAAGGTGCAAAAGTGAAAGGAAAGGGATGTCGTAAAAGGTTTACCTTAGATTGTTTATATTTTTCACGTATTGCTGGCAACTTGCATCCATGAGTGTTTAGCTGCAAGTCTTGCAACACGAGAACAGTGATTTTCATCTCCGATGCCTTGTAGTTGGTGTAATGCTCCAGAGTCGAATTCTGCAGAAAGTACACGGTCATTTTGGGTTTGATTGCTATCAGAAAGGGAAGAGTTATAAATGATGCAAACCCATGGATGGTCTGATTGATCTAGTGTCCATCTGGCTAGAAATACAGCAGATGCAGCAACAAGGGATGGAAGAAACTCCAGGAGACTGTACTCGGTTAGTGTTAACTCTGCTAAATAATTTGCCAAGAATTCCAGTTCAACAGATGGAACCTAGAAATGGGGGAAATTATTTAGTCAGAATGGTTTCTTCCTCGTATGAAAAACAGAAAGAGCTGTATAATGTCTTGTCTACCTCATATGAAACTTGTGCTGCTTGAATGAATCTCCTACGAAACAGATTGAGACAGGGCAAAAATAAGAGATACTTAACTTAACAAGATTGCATTTTATTGAAAATAAGGGACACATATTTTAGATATATCGAGTACCTAAGGAACTTCTTTGTAGTGGGAACAGATAATTGAAAACCCAAAAAGTTCAAAACACGACTTTCCATTTTCACCACCTGCCACGTAACCACAAGTGAGTTCTACTTTTGCAAATAAGGACTTTTCCAGATGGGGAGAGCATAAGTTAATTTATGGCCAAAGGCATTAATACTTTTAAAGCTATGAGTTTATTGAGATTTATATCAAGGAAAATGCAGCTATACAAAGAAAGAACCAAAATGAAACATAAAATATATCAGCCTCTAACATGAACATTGTCCTTGACCTACAGAAACTCAATAGTAGAAATAACCTTGTCAAAATAAAAGGATGTACCTCTTCTTTTGTGTAGGTATTGTCTGTTATAAAGCAAAACTCTTCCACACGAGGTGCGCATATTTCTTCATATTTTCTTCAAACCAAAATCCAGAAAGATATAAGCAAGAAAATATTTAAGCGTTTATACTTCTTGTAAATAAAGGAAACTTACGAAGCAATTAGCATGCAAGTTACACCAAGCAATTGCAATTTCTGCTTTTCAATATAGTTTTCAGACAGGAACCGATCAAGAAGATTTACAGTGAGGTAAAGTGTGTCTGGGACCAGCCTATACTCTTCAGAAACCTGAAATAGAGGAGACATACCCACAACATAAGATGACAACTAAGCAAAAAACTAATTTGAATACTCTCAAGAAATCCAGTTTTTCTTAAAAGATTAAGATTATTGGATGTCACAAGTTCTGAAACTTTGAATTAATAGTACAAAACAAAGATTGAAGATAACAGTGCACTGCTCAGAGGAGGTTGAAGAGTACAATTGAAGAGTGCAACCAACAACTGCTGGATTTACTATTTTTACAAGGAAGAAGCTTGATTTCTAGAGAACAAGAGGAAAAACTTGCTAGTTCGAAGTGAGAAAGACTATTGATACTAGTTACTACATACCAAGAGCAAAGGAACAAGAATTCCTAACAGTTCTTTGGTATCTTTGTAAGAATGATGGTTGTTTCCACAAGGAAAGGACAGTATAATCTCATGCATCCCAATTTGACTGTATGCACTAACCTCCACAAGCCAATCAATCAGTATCCCTCGCATGCCTGGGTTGATGTCTTGCTGCAGCTTTTCCATATAATCGCCAGAAGGCCTCCGGTCAAACTGAGAGAGAAGAAAATTGGTCTGAGTCTGAGTTAACATGATAGAAAACGGAAGTCTGCGATCGATCTAGAAAAACGATTAAGGTTTTGACTCCTTTCAACGTGATTATAAAAAATGAATTCACGGTGTGATACTGAACTAAATTTGATAACATGACACTGGATTTAGAAGTGACAAAAGCAAAAGTTCCCAACAATTTTGAGATTATTATGTATCAAGGGGCTAAGTGCTGAGTGGACAAATTTATGAATTAAAAATATGACAGAAAGAAAGAACATATAATAATAGGTATGCAGCCTTACAAACCTCCGTTGCGTGCAAATTTCTATATATATCAGGGGCATACATGCTGCACATCAGTGGATCCTTGTGTTTTGAATCTATATCCATAATGCCCACATTATCCATGTTTTCTTGTTTACTCCAGAATCTGCTTTCTCCTGGATGATACAATGAACACCCCCACCCCCCACGCCCAAAAAAAAAGAAAAAAAAAAGGAAAAAGCATTACTTTAGAGGTGTCCTGCGAGCTTAAGTAGATATCGATCCAGTCACACATGTTGCTAAGGAGGTACATCTCGTGAATTTAAATAGAAATCGATCTGCTCACACAGTGTTAGGAGCGCGTCCTGTGAGTTTAAAAGTAAAAGACTATCTAGTCACACATACAGATATGTCACGCAAGCTTAACCAGAAGTTGATCTAGAAATCGTTAATCTTTTACGTTTGTCTTATTTTCCTTTTAAGTTATTTATCATGAACTGAAAAATTTCCTTTAACCCTAAAAAATAGATAAAGTTAATATGAACTACCATAAATCAAACTTGGAAACAAGGTTATAAAAGATCTCACCTAATTGTGTTCATAAATATAAGAAATAGCGATACTTCTTGATCTTTCCATATCTTACTCAATTAAAAAATTTAGAAGTTAAATTGACGTTCTCTCATCGGTTTCTCTTTATTTTTGCCCTTGTAATTAACATCTTTGCAGTTGGCTTTTACTTTGATACAAGCCGATAATCACAAAAACGTGAATGTTCTGAAAAAACTTATTTAAAACTCGAATAACTATTTTAAAACTTATCAAATTCAAGGAAATATTTTCATAGCAAGTACACAATTTTGGTTCAAGACAGAGAAGCTACGTCACATGCTATTAATTTCAACCTCTCAATCACCAAAGAAAATCCATGAACGATTATCTTCCAATATTGCCTATTTTCTTCGATCATCTCTTTAGCCTTTACTTGTGTACAATAAATGAGTTTAGTTGAAGGATGAACCGAAAAAATCGGTCAACCTATATAATTAATTTGGTCCATACAAAAAATGCCTCATTATCTTTTGATGTCTTGTACGATAATATTGATAATTTCTAAAACTTGACGTTTATTTGATGTGTCTATTACGTATACTTCATTTCTATTTATTTTTTTTAGCACGATTTTGCTTACTGTACACACTAGTATATCTGATTCTTCTTCCGTCGAGATAAAAAGTTTTCTTTTTGTGACATAAAAAATATTTGTAGACAATATTAAAAAATTATTATTCATTATATATTTAATCATATTTAGTACTGCACACTTTTATCTCGTTTGCTCGCATAAACAATATCTCAAATTATTCTCGTGCAACAAGTGGGACCCTCGCGAGTTGCTTATATTACAAGTGTCGACATGCATGTTTGGATGAATTTGAAAAAAAATAATAAAAAAATTTACAAGTAAAAAATAAGTAAAGTTCATCGTTGGCCATATGCTCTTTTTGAATCCGCATCAAACCTTTCCATTTCTTTTAAAACTTTAACTCAAATAATAGTTGAGTACAATATCACAACACATAAATAGCTATTTTAAAAAAAAAATTAAAAAATCTAATATTTCATATGTTAAATTTGTAATGAACTAGTCATTCAATACTAAAATATGAAAACAAAGAGTATGTCGATATTTTACCCAATGATTGGATCAGCTTTCCCTTTATAACGAAACTCAAGGAAAGTTAGGAGTGAAAGGGGTCTTGGTATCTGAACAGCGGGAGCGAGCTGGTCCTTTCCATTTCATAAGATAAGCAACTTTTCATGTAATGGGAAAGCTACCAAGCACTCTTTAGATTGATGCCCGAGATAATTCCTTTTAGAGGTATTAATAGATAAATATAGTAATTAGACTTGTGTAGTTGTGTATATTTCATTGAGAAATAAGGCTTATATTTATATGAAAAATTAGGATTGCAAAAAATATAACAGTCACAATAATTAGAATTTTGTGGGTAGAATAGTCATACGGTGACTACTATTTATTACCTAAAATATCCTATATTTTTAAAAGTCAAAAAGTTCAAAAGCAGCAATCAAATTTGAAGAATAGAAATTAACCCTGATAATTGAAAAAAAAAAAAAAAGAAAAAAGAAAAAAGAGACATCATTGGATGGTGGACTGTTTTATTTGCACTACTATATGTTCAAAAAAATATTTAATGCAAGAAAATTCCACAAATTTCAGGTATTTTCTACCCAAATGCAATGTCGGGTCGAGAAGACTGGTCTTAAGCTCAACCAAATAATGACTATTTTGAGCTTGGGAAAAATTCATATGTCAGGTGTATAGTTTACACTAATTCACGATTGAGATATAAAAAGTACACACACACACACACACACACACGTAGTTTTCCTATAATCCCGTGTAGTTTCCATCAATAACAGGGCTCTACCACCAAAAAATCCTCATCAAAAATTAAACATCCAGCATAATTTCAATCCAGTCACTGTAGAACCCTATTTTAGCCGTGGAAGAAGAAAAAATCAGGTAATTGTGCTTCACCATTCATATATGAAGTGATTGATGTCATCGACATTGATGATTTCATGTCACAGATTTGGAATTAGTTTGGAGAAATTGACATTTTCGCATAACAGAAATCAATCCAGGTATTGGTCCGATTTTTTATTTCACTGCTAGTTTTTCGCATTTAGCATCATCACAAAAGATCTGAAATTTTTCTATAGTTAAATTTTCAACGACCTATCTATTGTGGTCGCATATGTGTCAAATTTAATAACATTGTGCAATGGAATATGAACGACATGTATGATATGTGACTTAATTGAGTGTAACCAGTATAGCATCGATTGTGGATGTCTGTGACCACTACAAAAATGTGGCAGATTGTAACGACATCAAACATAAGATGTTAACAGCATATGTGACCATTGTGATTTACATTGGAAGACGAAGAAACAAAGGATTCATTGTGGATAATTAAATGTGATCTCTGTGCTAAAAATGTGACCTCCATTTATTTTCGATTATCTGTAAGATATGTTAGGTTGACATTGATCGTACTCATATGTGACCTATTCCGATATTTGACCAAAATGTGACCATACGACACAACAATATTTATACACATATGTGACAAATTTGGATGTGTAAGTGAATTGGAAAAATGACTTAAACCAATTTTGTTCATGAGATGTGACCTGTGTGTCGCCAAATGTGACCTACTTTTTTGAATGTCATATGTGACTTCATGTTATTGCATAAATTCTTATATAAAACTATATGCATTGTATTAAATTAACCATTGAAAATGTGATTTTGCAAAAATGGTGTACTTGCATGTATGTTTGTTGCATGGATCTCGATCAGCGTTGGTGTTGGTAGACCGTAGATGCAATTATGTAAGCCTTGTTAACACGATTATGTCAGAGTGCAGCTTGGACTCGACGAAGGTAGCAGTATCATTGAAGTATGTACTGAACATCGTTTGCTTGCAATCAAGATAAAAAATGACAGCAACGTGCTTGCATATATTCTGCTGAAAGAAGCCGATCGTGATCCTGCTAAATACCCATTGATCATTGACATAACCGATGCAGCAATAAAGTACCCATCTGACATAGTCATAGATAACGCTTATTGTAGTAGAGAGCTTTATACATTACAGGATATGGCTACAGAAATCTACAAAGCATCAAGTAAACATGTAGATCACATTTGTGACAATGAAGTAACGATTATTTCTGTAGCAGATGCTAGTGAGGTCGAAGAAGGAATGATTTTCCGTGATAAGGATATTTTAAAATTGAGTCTATCCTTTTTTGCCATACGAAGCATGTTTGAGCTTATGGTTGAATGATCCGACAAGAAAGAATATGTTGTGAGGTGTTCTCAGAAAGGATGTACTTGGATATGCCGATCATCGAAATGGGGTAAAACGAATCTATTTAAGATTCGAAAGATTGGTAGTCACACATGTGCATCAAATATGGTGTTAGGGTCACATAGACAAGTATCAGCTGCAGTTGTTTCATCTAGCATCAAGTACAAGTACACATCGACTGGCACCATATACACACCAAAGGACATATGCAGTGATATGTTACATACTTTTGGAATATATTTGAATTACTCAAAAGTTTGGAGATCCCGTGAACAAACATTGAAGATGATTAGGGGTGATCCGACAGAATCATTCGGTAAGATACCAAGCTTCTTCTGCATGCTCCGACAAAGAAATCCTAGTACAGTCACAGAGTTGGAGATCGATAGTCACAATAGGTTCAAGTATTATTTTATGATACTCGGTGTATCAATATGAAGGTGACAACATTGTAGGCCCGAAATTCTCGTCGACGATACTTATTTGAATGGTCATTATAGAGGTACCATATTCACAGTATGTACACAGGATGCAAATAATGGCATATTTGTTTTTGCTTTTGGAGTGGGGGATAATGAGAACGACAAATTTTGGAGATAGTTTTTGGAGAAACTGAAAAATGCATATGGGTACAGAGAAGGATTGTGTTTTGTATCAGACCGTATGGCAGTATAAAGAAAGTAATAGAACAGGTGTATCCAGGAAGTTGCCACGTTATCTGCTCGTGTCATTTGCTGCAAAATCTAAAGTCATATTATGGAAAATCAGGGCAAGATATTATGCATGCGTTCAATTTGGCCGTCCGCGCTTACACATTAGAAGAATTTGAATACAACATGCAACAACTAGACGCGATGAATGGGAAGATTCGTGATTACCTGGTACTGTACTAACTACAGCACTCCATTGTCACGTACAGTGAAGTGGTCACATATATCCTTTTATACGATACTCATAGTAGATATCTTTTAGTAGGATGAAGTTGACCCTGAAAAGTGGTTACGAATACATATGCCGGCAAACAAATACTCTACAATGACACCAAACATTATAGAATCAGTAAACGCGATCACAAAGGTAGCTAATAATTACCCCATTGTATTCTTGCTGGAGTCATTGCTATAAACAGTACAAAATTGGTTCTGTAAACATAGAGACGAAGCGCATGAAACTTTTATGATGTTGACAAGCAAGTTCAAGAACGTTATGAGGAGAATGAGTTCAGTATCCTGAAGTTTGTGTATATGGCCTAAATGAAAAATGCATGTGATTATATTATAGGTGTCTGTGACACGAATGTACGTCTGTGATTATGTATCCAAATTATAACTGCATGTGACTAGCAATTTACGTTTGTGACGCTATATACTTTGTTCGTGATGTTATATATTTTGTTTGCTAATGCTAAACCTGTGACCTGAATGGATTGTATGTGACACCCAAGTATGAAGTCCTGTAACTAAACATATCATTATGCACTGAAATATGAATGTTTGTGACCTATTCTTTTTTAGTTTAAACTGACACATACCATTGGTGCTACTACACTCTCATAGGTATCTCCTTCCAACCAAACAGTATTTTTCGTGAGCGATGAAAGGTCTACCTTTGTTGTTGACGTTGAGCAACGTACATGCACTTGCAGGATGCTGCAGGTCGATCTAATGTTGTGTCCACGTGCATTGGCTGTAATTGCACATACAAAAAGGGATCTATATGCTTACTATTCTTATTATTACACAAGGGATGCATATGTAAATGCTTACGTAAGTTCGGTTTATCTTGTTGGAAATCCAGACGAATGGAGAGTGCCCGATGAAGTAGAATTGCAAATTGTTTTAGCTCCTAACTGTTGACCTATGGTTGACTTCATTCACAATGTTTTGATCATAACAAACAAAATTAATATTATTTCTAACAATTTATTTTGAGTAATGATAGTTCAATGTTAAAATCAATTAAGCGCTAAGTACTCAAGTCAAATCATTCGAGACGAAAAAAGATGAAGAGCACGAGAGGCGGTAATGAAAGAAAAAGGTCAAGATTGGAGTCACACATTTAAGAATTTAAGAGCCAAACTTCAGAGGAAGATTAAAGACTTGATTTCTTAGTCAAAATGTAAAGGTACTAACACTTTGATATATGACAATGAATGGTTAAGCTCAAAATCATTCTATGCATAAAAAACAATTTTTGTAAACTAAAAGTCATTCTAATGCAACGTTTTGATCAAATATAGAAATGACTTTTAAAAGTGATATTTGGACTTTAAAAAACATTTTTATCATGAAAAAATAGTTAAAAATATTTTTCAAAGATCCGTGCACTTTAAAACTTTCATATCAGAACAAACGGGGTCAAAACATAAAAATACCGCGCTGTCGGGGCGGTCAACCGCCCAGAGAGGCGGTCAACCAGATCGGTCGACCGGACACCCACCAATGGTCCAAAATTTGACCGTTCTGATTTCTGATTTTTGTTGTACAAACGGCTATATTGATCTTCCGGACGAGAGGCGGTCAACCGACTAGTCTTCCGCAAATGCAGATTTTTTCTCGTTTTTGAACTCTATAAATTTTCTCACTCTTTCCATTCTTCACAAGATTTTCAAGTGAATCAAAGTGAGATATTTTTTCTTTAAGAATTCTTTGAGCTTTCATTTGCATTCATTTCATTTGTTTCTTTATATCAAAAACTTTGATTGATTCAAACTCATTAATCATCATTCTCATCAATGTTTTTCATCTCTCTTTGTGTTTAATTTATTTATATCATTCTTAAAAGCATGGTGTATTCTTGAAGAAGGTATTCACATTACATTGCATAAATCTTTCTACTTTTTCATATTGAAAAACTTTGATTGTTGAATCAAATTTCTTGAATCATTTCCTCGTCAAAGTTTTTCATATCTCTTTGTGTTCAAATTATTTATATCAATTTTCAAAGAGAGATATATTCTTAAAGAAGTTCTTTGCACTTATATTGCATAAATTTTTCAACTTTTTCATATTGAAAACTTTAATTGATTGAATCAAATTTGTAACATTATCACATTCATCAAAGTTTCTCATTTCTCTCTTAGTACTTGATTTATTATAATCATTCATTAAAAGAGAGATATTTTTTGAGAAGATTATTTGAATTTACATTGCACTTAATTCTTCTTCATCTTCTCATAGAAATACTTTGATTGGTTGAACTTAATTTTTCAGTTGTCATTTTAATCTAACACTTGAGCTATCATTCGTTATTATTCATTAAAGTGTTAGCCTCTCCTAGTATTTAATTTGTTTTGTATTATTTATCAAGAGAGGATTTGATTGTAAAATCACTTTGATAAAGTGTGGGTCGTGTTGAGATCCCGGAAAGCTCAACATTGTGTAAGGATTAGTGTTCCTTGTTGTAAGTCACCATGTGAGTCATATTGAGGTCCCGTAAAACTCAATAGTGTGGGTCGTGTTAATGTCCTGTAAAACTCAACTTTGTAAATGATCGGTGCTCCTTGTTTGTAAGTCATCGGAAACGTTGTAAAAGGTTGGATTGTAACATTTATCAATCAAAATAGTGAAAAGGCCTTGCTCGTACCGGAGAGTTTGGTAACGGAGGACGTAGATCATTGCTTTGGATCGATCCTCCACAATTATGTCGTTTGCATTCTCTCTCCCTTTTAATTATCACTTTTATACTTGCATTTATTATTTGAATTTATTAATTTAGTCTTTACTTGCTTTCTTATTCGTGTTTGTTTGTTTAATTGACATATTTACTATCATATTGGTTTATATCTAGAATCAATTTTTGAAAAAGTTTTAAAAAACCAATTTACCCCCCTCTTAGTTAGTCATTCTTGGATTTTCACTAATCAGAAGCAGAGTTCTGGAAGACCTACTGAGAAGAGGAAAAGATCATCGAGGGAAGGGAAACCAAAAGTAAGATGTGAACGTTGTATTGCGCATGGTCACAACCGCAGGAGATACTCAAGTTTGGTCCCATTAAGTAAGAGTGATTGACGGAGTACCAACCCGTAATAGGAAGTTAATACATGATAAGGACTTATCAAAATTAGATCGCATTCTTGAATTCAAACTATTATTAGCATACCAACATTGAGATCATTTGTAACTAAATGTGTTTCAATTAATCAATTGACAAATGATGTTTAAAAAGTAAAGTAATAAATGCTCAATGAAATATATCTGCACTTTTCATTCAGTTTAACGCAGAATTGTGTAAAGTGATGATTATACATTCCATACACAGCAATATATTTGAATTGTGACCATTAATTCAATTAGAGGTATGAACTGTGACCTAAATGTGGTGGAGAAACTTGGATAAATTAACTGTGAATGGACAAATATCTATCCATTCAGATATTCGATAAATAAGATGAACTGTGACCAGCTTTTGGCATGATATGTTATGAGTGCTAAATCTGTGATTTGCTATACATATGATATGTGACCTAGTCATGACAAACTAAAACTATGACCAAAAGCACTACTAAATCTGTGACCAGATACACATATGATACGTGACCTGTTATTTACACACGACATGGCAAACTAAAACTGAGACCAAAAGCACAACTACAACATAACATAAGCTGTGACCTAATTTTCGATGTACAATTAGACTTGTGACTTGATCTTGGCATGATATGTTATGAGTGCTAAATCTATGATATGCTATGCATATGATATGTGACCTGTTATTGACATATGTCATGTCAAACTGAAACTTTGACCAAAAGCAATACTAAATCTATGTCCTGGTACACATGATATGTGACCTATTATTTACACACAACATTGCAAAATAAATCTGTGACCAAAAGCACAACTGTGTATCCAAAGAACAACATATTAACAATTGAAAGTTGGGGCACTCATGTATTGAAAAAGCATATTCACATCCACATGATAGTATTGAGTACAAACACCTCCACTGCTTGAAAGAAATATAAAAGGCTACCAATTGAAGCATAAAATTCATTTACAAATGTTTTCATATTTGTCATTCTATAACAATCCCCCCTCCTTTAAAAGCCTGCCTCGCCTTCTTCATGTAAGGTTCCCGGTGTTTGTAGAGTAGCAAGGCGATATCAAGCCTATATTTTGCAGCATCGAATTGATGGAGAATAGAACATCTGCCATCACGGAGGATATACAATACATACAATATCACGAACACCCCGCAGTCATGACTGTAAAAGAACACAATATAATATGTTATGAATTAATTAGAATACAAGTTATATGCATAGTCTTGGTCACATACTTACCCATTCGTCTGCTGAGGTAGGGTACTGTCAATAGTCACCTTCATTTGCTTGCATTCAGATTCGTTATAATCGGGGTCTTTTTTGAAAATTCTCAACACTTTCATAAGAGCAGACAATACCTTCACATAAGGCTCAATACCTTCCAGCACCTTCCAATGACGATAAGTTTTTCCAGCTGAATTGAACAGCATCAAAGTATGGCTTCTAAGTTCTACCAGACCTAGCATCCAGTCAGCTTTGTTGGTGGGTAGGAATGGCATAAACACATAGTCTACATCGGCCTAAGATGTGCTCAGGGATATCATGTGACCTATGACAGCCTTAATCAAGCTACTCTTCGACAACAGAACATGAGGATCTTTTTAGAAAGCGAGAAATATATCTTTTATCTTGTTCTGGAACCAAGAGTCCGTCATTGTAGCTCTAAACTTTACTTTCCCAAATTTTGCTACCTGACGAATGTAGTAGAAGCATGCATCCATATGCTGTTTGAATATGAGGGACAAAATTATGTACAACATTAAAAAGTTATGACTCTATGACAATGGACAGCTTAACGGTATGTGCATGGTGTAGTATGAGGTTCTTAATATTCTGTGACTGGTTAACAAGGACATGTGTTGTGAACAGATACATAAGTACTACCATACAGAACTGCTCAAAGACATTTCGGCATCTATCAGCTGGTGGAACCATGTCTTGTAACCGACTGGATATAAGCCAATACTAAAAGCTGGTTTGATTTGATCATCGTGCTCATTAAACTTTTTCTTGTTGTCACAAATTGACTGTCAAGATACTGTGACTGTGTGAGTAGTGTATTTGAAGATGTAAGAAAAATATACGTGTCTATTTTTGGGTTTATACCCTCTCTGAAACCAACCCAAGAATGTTGATTTATCAGCTTCTTCAACATGGTCTTTATAATTTCCAAATACGATAATATTACTGTCATGCTGCGGTACCTTTCCTTCCCCAGCAACAAACGGAGACCGCAGTACCCTCCCAGGCCTTGAAACCCGCTTAACTGGTAATTCAGAACCTGGTTCAAGAGTTGGTGATCCCTGTGAGTTGTAAAAGCTCACATTTAGTTTGTATAAATTCAATGTACACATTGTGTGACTAGCAGATTACACAAAAAAAAAACATAATTTGAATACTTCTTCGTCAACATTTTTGAATGCAGTGATCACATCAGATATGACAGCATCTACCTGTTTCTGAATTTCTACAGACTGCAAATCATCCTGTTGTGTGTATCTGATACTCAAGTCAAATGATGGCGGTTGAAGACTACATGGAAAGGCAACATCGTCGGTTGGGTCGACCTTTGATCCGAACAAATCCCAATTTTTGATGCACAGAATTTGACAGATCAATTAATAATGAATTTGAAGTTAGAGGCAAGAAAAAACCAGTGTTTTATTTTCTTAGCAATTCTGAACATACAGAAATTGTTTTCTCTCTACAATTCTCTCTGCCTTTCTTAGTCCTTTGCAGGGCCTATTTATTAGCTCATCAAAACGAGAACTTCTAGCAGGTAGTGCCTTCTTCTCAGGAACCATTATATCT